TCAACAACTTCCTGATTTTTTTTAATCTCATGAGTCAATTTAATGAACAGATCAGATATTATGTGCAGATATGCTCCTGCTCAAGTTCTTCAAACCTCAATGTTGAAAAAATACATAAAATTAAACAATGGAATGTTAAAATTGACATCATTCCTGTTCACTGGTTCAATATATATATTGAGCTATCCAAACTAAAACTTGCTTTGTGATCATCAAGAATTTTGTTGAGAGATGCCAATTCCTTCTGGGAGTTTTCCAAATCCAGTGTCACTTTTTGAACATTGAGAATGGTATTTCACCTAGATAGTTGACATTCTTCAATCTGATTGGTTTTAATTTTCTTTGAATCCACCAACCTCTCCAGGGTGAATAATAACTTTTATCACCAAATTCTAAAGAGCCAAGTTGGATTATCCTAGAATCAAATATTGAATGTATCAAATATTATGGGAAAGATTATAAGTTTCTGTCTATATTTCCAAGATGAAGTATTTTAACGATTTACATTATCACTAAATCATTATTAGACTAAAAAAAAACCTATCCAATCTAAAAAATATTTTCTAGTTTTAAATAACCTCTACAAGTTTAAATATAAAAACAATCAATAAAATTTATATAGTGGTTTAATTATTTTTTGACAATAAAGATGAACAAGTCTCTGAACAATGTAAATAGTGTAAATAATTATAAGTAATTTTTACCGAAAATAGAATAAAGCATAGAAACATATATAGCTAAAATAAAATTGTAGAACCTTTTCTCTAAAACCTAGCAACATGAACATGTGTATTAATTATATTCCCAACAATTGTTCCAGGTTAAATTGGATGTTCTAATTTTCTTCAGCAATGAAAACAGTTATGAAAGAGGAGGACAATCTTTTTCTTAGTTAAAGCTTTTTAAGTGCAACACCATAAACTACATTGAAACAAAGACACATGGTTATGCTGCCTGAAAGTAACAACTGATGTTTGTTGAGGCTATGGCTCCCATTAAACTAGTGTTTACAGGAAAGAGATATGAAGAGACAGGCAAATCATGTCAGGAAGTTTTAGAATACAACTAATGTTTTGAAAACTAAACCATTTAGCTTTATAAGTTACTAAAGAAATCAATTTATAACAAACTGAATAAAAAAAAATGAAAAATGTGGTTTGTGTATAAAAACCAGTACATCTTATATTTAAATGCCTTAAAAACTAAACGGACTTTCTCCATTAATCAAGCTAAGAAAAAAATCATGTTTTCCATCATTAGAAATTTCTGTAGCAGATTTATAACACTTTGAAAAATTATAAAAATTCCAACATCTAGGTGGATTTTTCCAAAAAAGGTTTTTTTCACTACATTGTCAGAAATTTTCTCTATAGAATCTTCATCATATACCATTCGCCCATGAAAAAAATATTACAGACCACAACAGATAGGGTGAAAAAAAAATTTTGTAAGCATTAGAAGAAGAATTCACTTTTGAGAAAAAGAACTGTTTTTTCACTTTTTTTAATATAAAAATTTTACATTCAATACAGAATTTCAAATGATTTTGATTGAATGATTTCAATCCCAACAAGAAGAGTTAATGGAATCTTTTAATAAAAAATGAAAATCAAACTGATCTCAGACATTGTTTCAAAAATAGAACAATGATAAAATGCAGATTTGCAACTATAAACATGAATCAAAGAGAAAGTCTGTCCATCATGGGGACAGACATGTAATAAGTCAAAAAAGAAAATCTGTTTCAAGTCATATGTAATGGTGAGATACCAATGTAAAAACTGAAGAAATGTTATCCGAAATGTAAAAAAGTCAAACAAACATTTTTTTCAATAGAAAGGAGAAACAAAAAGAACTTACCTTCACGAATTTTAAATTAAATGCATAGTACTTAAAATTAGTAGTTTTTGACACTTTTCCAATGAAGTCTATCTTGATTCTGGAGAATTTTTAGGAACAATTACTGAAACCAAAATTGAGAAAAAAGTCATCTGAAATTGAGACAATTTGATGGATAAAGACAGTCCTTCAAGGACAAACATTTGAAACAAAAAATAGATTTGAAATTGTCACTATTATAGTCGTAGATTGTATAAAAAGAACTGATTTGATAAATATTAATAGCATGTTTACTTAATGCTATAAATACAGGAAGTTCCGAAACTAGGACATTAAAAATCTATAAAGCGAGCCTTAAGTTAAAAAGAAATATCCATTGTATTTTGAAAGCTAAATGGTAGTTGATAAGCTGCGAAAAATGGTGGAAGAAGGCATTCTTCAATATGTAGAACCTGGAGGCAGCAAATGGGTATCACCTGTTGTGGTTTTAAGAAAACCTAATGATGATTTTAGAATTTGCAGAGATTTACAAAGTAGACATAAATCATAAGATTTGTTCAGATTCCTACCCTATTCCAAATATAGAAAACATACTACATTCTCTGGCAGGAATGAAATATTTTATGAAAATGGATTTAAAAAATATATACCACAAAATTCAAATAGATGACAAATTTAAGGAAATCACAACAATAAACTCCCCCATAGGCTTACTTAGATGGTCCTGCTTGCTATTTGAAACTAAGACAGCCAGCTTTATTTTTCAAAAAGCTATGGAAAATTTGTTAGCAGGGAGAGTAGAAAATATGATAATTTATCAGGATGATATATGTTTAGGTGCAGCCACTGAAAAAGAACTGAAACAAAAAACTAAATTTGTAATGGATAAATTGAGGCGAGCAGGAATGATGATGGATGAAGATAAGTGTATATTTAATTGCAAAGAATTAACATTCTTGGGTTACCAAATTTCAGAAAATGGTACTTCAACAGACCCAACGTTAATACAAAAAATATTAAATGTATCTTCTCCAACTAATAAAAAAAGTTGAATAATTTCTTGGATTAGCTAATTTTTATAGCAAATTCTTGTCAAAATATTAAAAAAGAATTGAAGCATTTTCTGAGTTGCGAAAGAAGAATAAGGAGTTTGAATCGACTAGTACACACCAAATAGCCTTCATTAAATTAAAAGAAGCTCTACCTAAAAAAACCATGGTCAAGATTTTTGAGCCTAAATTAACCATGTGAGTGACCAGTCTGTATCAGCAATTTTGTCCCAGAAAAGACACCTTTCCAGGACATTGACACCAGCTGAATTGAACTATTCTAATATTGAAAAGGAAGCACTTACGATTGTATGGACTATGACCAGAGCAAGACAATTTTTATTAGGAAAAAAATTTTTGTTGAGATCCAATCATAAGCCCTTAGAATTTATATTCCATCCTCGGAAGGAATTACCAAAAGTTACATCATCTAGAATATTAAGATGGGCTATGAAGTTAATGGCTTTTGATTATGATATAGAATACATGAAGGGAAACACAATAACACACTTAGATGCATTGTCCAGACTACAATTTGAAAAGGAACAAAACAAAAAAACATAAAATAAAGTTGAGGATGAATTTTTTTGCATTGGGTGGAAATAGATATGTTGCCCATGAAGAGAATAATTATGAAGACATTACAAGATCCAGTCTTAAGTCGAATTTTATCTAGAATAAGGAACAATAAATGGAGTAATTGTTCAAAAGCAGAAAGATCATACAAAGAAACCGGACACAAACTATCAATAAAAAATGATTTGATTTGTAGTGGGCATTTAGTTGTACCACCAGAAAAATGTATAAAAGAAGTAATTAAGAGTACAAGAAGATGTGCATTGTGGGATAACCGCTACACAAAGATGGTTAAAACTGGAAGCGTGGTGGCCAGGACATACCCTAGATGTGGAGAATTATGTACACAAATGTCCTAAATGTGCCAAAATAAAAAAAAATTTTCACCACAATAATTTACACTCTTGGTATAAGGAAATAGAACCATGGTCTAGAGTTCATATGGATCACGCACAAGTTAACAGGGTAGGTTTATGTCTAATACTGATTGAGATTTTTTTTTGCCTGGCCTGAAGTTTTCTGAGTTCAAGATAAAAAATCTATTTCTGTAAAACAAATATTAGGCATATTTGCTAGAAATGGTGTACAAAAAACATTAGTAACTGATAATGCTCCCGAATTCTGTGATGAAAGTCTATGCTTGTGGTTAAGGAAGATTGGTTGTGTCCCATATAGCCACCCTCCTTACCACCCTCAATCAAATAGGATTGCTGAACGAATGGTCAAAACAATAATGATGGGATTGAAAGCATTTTCTTCTCAGCAAGAAAAGATTGAAACTTTCCTACCAATATTATTGAGTTTATAGAATGATACCACATGCTGACAGATTAAAGAGCCTATCTGCATTAAAGGAGGGGGTGCAGACAGATTAGAGCTCCATTAACCATGCCACAAAGAAATAAAGAAAAAGATCTGGAAGAGGTGAGTTTGATAAAGCAAAAAGGATACAACATGGAATTAATATGCAAGAATGATAAAAATATTGTTGCCCATGCAGACCAGTTAAGAGCTAGTCAAAATTACAAGGAAGTACAAAGTGAAGCTAGTTTGAATGACTATGTAGATGAACAAGAAAGCAGGGTAGAGGAATCAGTGGACGATCAAAGTTATTCAGAAGACTTGGAGTATGAAATATGGGACACTGAGAATAAAAGAATTAGATCAAGGTCCACCATAATGAGAAATACTCATGAAACCAGTGAGAGGCAGAGGGAATGTAGGAGATGCCATAGATCCACACAGGGCATGAAACCCAAAAGATTCAGGGTGATGTAATCAGATTGGTTTAGCTAATAGGTAATTAGCATAAAGAGAGATATAACTATACATTCTGTATATGTACAATATCTACAGCTACTAATCATAACAGGTTATGTGCTGAATTGACATGTGGAAGACTATTTTCACTATGAACTTTATTTTTCCCAAAATCAAATATTTAAAAGCCAGAGAGACAAAACAAGGGTGATCAGCTCACTAGGAGTTAGAAAATTATAATTTCCTCAATTTTATAAAAAAAAAAAAAATTCTTACTTCTGTATCCAGGACTGTGTCCAAGACTTGTTTTAACTGCTGTGACTCTTTTTGATATTTTTCAACCAGCTGAGCTTTCTCATCCACTTGCTGCCGGCAGTAAGCCAATTCATCACTCTGTTCTTGCAGCATCTGTTGTAATTTTTCAACATTTTTGCATTGTTGTTGCAAACGGCTATTTTCTTCTGACAACTCCCTTTCCTTCTCATACTTCATCTTCAAAAGTTCCTCTTTCGAACACTCACTGCCGTCTGCCTGCATCTCACCAATTTCGGTTTGTTTTGACTGCTCGGATTTTAACTGGTGGATTTCCAGCAGGAGGCTAGATTCTCTTTGTTTCAACTCAGCAATCATGGACAATTTCCCCTCAACTATTCGTTCATGTTCTTGTTCAATTTCAGTTAACTTTTCTTGAAGCTGATGCAGCTTTACTTGCAGGTCTCTCCTTTCAAAATCCAGATTCTCTTTCTCTTCTTGAGTGCAGTTGTAGTTTTTACTTAGGTCATCATACCTGCAACAAGATAAATATCTTTTTTAACTCAGCATACCAAATTGCTTATGTTAGTGCAATACACAATGTTTTTATTATAACCAACTTAACATTCTGATCAGCATTCAGGTTCCTTCATTTTTGTGCAAGAATGAATACTCAGTTTGTTTGAATAGTTGCTCAAGTTTTTTTTATGCTTAAGTCTAATAAATAGAAAAGAAAAATATTTCAGCCAAAATAGACCTTCATGCCCACAATAAGACAGAGTGTCAAAAAGGACCATTTTTCCCATGACACCACTTTTTTTTTTTAACTACCTTCACTCTTCAGCAATGTTTATTGCTTTAAAAAGTGATGATTAGAATTGTAATAAAACCTCAAAATATGAAAGTGAATTTATGCATTTTCTTTGTTCTTGAAAATTAACAAAAAAAAAAATAAATACTATTTATTTATCCTATTATTTATTGGAATGATCAGCAAAACATCAGCTAATTGTCAATTGATTCAAATTTTATAAAATGCTAAATAATAAGGATTTCCTTATGGTTGGCTCATATATTTTAATAATTAAGTAAATATTTATAAATTTATGAATAAAAAATTGTTTTTATATAAATTGGTAAATGATAAATATTGCAATGCATTAGTTTTAATTGCATTAGTTTTTAGAATGTTGTTAATATATAATTATTCTTGTAAATAAATAATCTAATAAATAAGTAGAGTTTAATATTTTTCTGTCTATATTTCTGAGATGAAGTATTATGTAAACTATTTACATTATTCGAACTATTGTCCTCATCTTTGTTGCCATATTTATCCCAACGTTTCGGTCGTTGTACACTCCAGCCTTCTACAGGTGGTTGGAATATCAAACTGAACCCTTTATTTTGCCCATTGGGATGGACTGTTCTAGTTCCATGTGCCATGTCTAATGGATGTCAGTTATCAGTTATCTCCTGTTAATTCCCCTCTCCAAGTTCTCCACTGCCTTAACCAGGTATTAGGACACAGGGCATAGTGGCACAGTAGATAAAGGTGTTAGTTAGCGACAGGACCTAAAGAGTGTGAGTTCAATACCTGGTTAAGGCAGTGGAGGGGAATTAACAAGAGATAACTGACATCCATTAGACATGGCACGTGGAACTAGAACAGTCTACCCCAACGAGCGAAATAAAGGGTTCAGTTCAACATTCCAACCACCTGAAGAAGGCTGGAGTGTACAACAGCTGAAACATTGTGATAAATATGGCAACAAAGATGAGGACAATAGTCCGAATAATGTAAATAGTTTAATATTTTTGTTGTAAATTGTCATGAACAAAAAAAAAAATGTATAAATTCACATTCATTATAGGTTTAGATTTTATTCCAATTCTAATCATCACTTTTTAAAACAATCTGTGTTGTGGGAAAAAAAAACATCCTTTATACACTACGTTCATGTTTGCCAATATGTCAATGTACACAAACTCGTAAAATTCTTGAATACAGTATGAAATAATGTATATTTAGTAACTCTTTTCATCTAATTTTATATTCTTTAAATTTTTGTGTAATGGTTTGGAACAAAAAAAAAAAAATCAGCAAAGAAATTCTTAAGTTCCAGTTGAGTTAGTTACATTCACTTTCACACAAATACCACTGAGAAAGGTATGAATCCATCTCTTTTCCCTATACCCAACTATGGGTTAAATAACAGGGTAGACTGGTCTCTCTAGCTGTGATTGGAAACCAGTATAGGAGAAGGACAAGTCTCAATTCAAAAGAGTATATGGCCCTGTTGGGGTGCAAATACTTGAACTGTAAAGTTTGCTGAGTATAGTTGCAGCATAAACCACAGGTTGCTTCTGTGGGTGTTGTAGAAACAGAGAAACTGAGCAGATAGGCTAGTTAAGAAATGAACAGCCATCCTGAAGATGAGAAATCACACTGATTTGTAGTGTGCCTTTAAGTCGAAACAGCTCTGACAATTTTGTGTCTTTGAGTTCTTTGAGCCTCATTGATGTCCGTAGTGGAGTCCAATTTGACACAGCTGTTTATAAACAAGCTGCTTATAAAAAAATCATGTAGCATTTTTTGGACTGAATGAACCAGTAAATATAAAATCTCATCATATTAACATTTCACCAAACAGAGATAATCAAGAATTATAAGCCAAATGTCAATTATTTTAAAAACAAATCAAAATTCAATCCACTATAAGTCAATCAGAATTACTATTTACTATGTTTAGTTTATTCTAGCACAAAGTGACAATTATAAGCTTCATAGTAAGAATCAAACATGTTGCACTAGTGAAATGTTTGGTGAGACAAACTAAGCATTCAAGTCAGTCAGAATAGACCAAAATTCATACTAGCAAAAATATTCATTCCCAAGGAAGAGTAAACAAACTTACTTTTGCTGCAAGATGCTGTATTTTCCTTTCATTGTGTTAAGTTTCTCAACCCATGAGGCAACTTCTTGACCTGTTGTAAGTTTCTCTTCTTCCAATTCTTCAATCTTGGTAAGAAGCTCTGAATGGGATGCACTAACTTCATCCTCAATTGGAGACATGCATTCTGATTCAGTGAATGAGGAAGCAACATCCACTTTACTCATCAGGCTAGAATCCTGCAACAAAACAATTACAACATAACAAGCAAAAAATAAACTCTACTTGTTTGTACATTCTATACAACAACTTACACATTCTTTTATAACCCATAAGTTTCTTTATTATTAACAATAATCTCCTTTCTCCTGCTGGCAGGGCTTAGTATATGCCAACTACATTCTTTGCAGTGGGTTAAGACTCTACCCCAGAAGCTACTTTCCAGGTGGATACTTGCATATAAACCAGATATATATCTATTTTTTTTGACTCAAGAACAATACGAACAAATGTCTACCTTTTTGACTCTAGTGCAAACCGGACATGTGTCTACTTCGTTGCAGGAATGGAAAGTATTATCATTTTATACTGCCTCATACATTTGTCCCACAAACAATATTTGGTGGACTCATGTAAGTCCAGGTTAAAAAATAACACAAAACATGGAATTCAAATAAACAACAATTAATAAATGTATTAACAAAACATGTTATGATAGGATAAAGAAAGAAAAAAGTCAGAGTTATGAACAGTTCAATACAATCATCAGCCTCTGTCTGTCTGAAGGACTTACAGGCTTCATCTCTATAGGAGTGAAAGGAAATGTGTCTTGCTGTTCTGAAAGTCAAACGGAAAAGAAGAAGAACTTTTCAAATACCACACAGCCTGTGATTATTGACAGAGGGCACTAATCCAACAATCTTTTTGACTAGTTCAAACCAGACCTATATCTACTTTTTTGTCTCTAGTGCAAATCACACCAGTGTCAGCCTTTTTGACTAATGTAAACTGGATCTACATCTATCTTTTGGAATCTAGTACAAACCCAACATATACATATGTTGTAATTAATTCATTGTGATTTTTGTCCTAGAAGACTTATATTCAGCATTAAATAACTCAACAAGTGCTTATATATTGATAAATTAACAAATCTATCCTAATCATTACTACTTTATATGAGAAAACTGATTGAAACCATTAATAAATGACATTTTGTCTTATCCATCTTGCTAACAGATTATGTCTAAGTACATATCAATGAAAGAAACAAGCTTATTCAAGCAATGAATATCTTTTTACAAAATAGACAAGTCAGAGTTAAAGGAAAAATAAAAAAGCTCACGTGTTGGCTTGTTATACTGAGCAGACTGCTCATACTGGATGTTCTGCTTGGTGGATTCCATGTATAATTTCCTGGTGTCTTCCTGGAATTTATTTTAAAAAAGATTTAATTGGGATCATGATCATTAATACTTATACTGCTGTGAGCATACTTATATAATATGTATAAGTACATCCACAACAGGCAATATAAGCAGCCATTATAAATTTCATAAAATGAAACATATTGTCTGCTATTGACATGTGTGTGTATATATATATATATATATATATATAATTATTTTTTAAAAAATATGATTCCTTCGCTCCATAAGAGTTCTCATGTTTGAAAAACAAGAGCCAAAAACCTCAATATAATTATTAAAATTAAATTGAGTTAAAGTATCAAGCCCTGTTTCATCCTCAAGCGAAAATTTAGGAATAAGCAATCTTGAAATTTACACATCTTTATAAGCATGTTCATTTGCAAAATTAATTAATATGGAAACGGCTAGGGCAACCATTTTGATAAGGGGCCTAAGAGTTAATTTTTATCCACATATCAGTCACCTTCGGAAAGAGGTCAATCCAAGGTAGGGCGGGGTATCCATTTCAAAGTTTAATGATGGCATTCATGTGTGCACATCATCTGGTCAGTCACAGCGAAAGATAGCTTTTGGCACCATAATATGTCGTTAAGTGTCTAGAGAATTTTGTTTTATTTATTTTTTTTTATGCTTTTATTTTTTATGTAGCGAGGGAATCATATTTTTTTAAAAAATAATTATAATTTAAGCTCTACTTCTGTATGGAGCACTGTTTTTTAAAAATAAAAACAAAAATACTGAAGAACTCCGGATTATTTACCTAATGTGTTATTTCCTATTTTTCTACGTATTTGCATATATATATTTCCAAGCTACCATGAAAATTTTAATAACAAGCTCTTTTATTGCAGTTGTGATATTACTGCTGAAGACATTGACATTTCTATATTGGGTTACCTGAATTCTAGTTAATTAAAATAGGTCTCTCTCTCTCTGAATAATAAGGTATATAATTTCTACTTCTCTATATTGGAAGTATCATTTAAATAAAAATGTAGTGAGTGGTCATGGTTAAATGTAAATAAAAAGCAGAACGGCCCAACAAATATAATTGATAAAGTTTGCAATAAGCAATAGCAAGAAAAAGTAAATAACCAGGCAAAAATAATATAAAGCAATTAAACAATATATGCAAGGCAAATTAACATTAATTAGGCAAATCAACAGTAATATAGCAAAAAGTTCACAAACTAAAAATTGGGGTTGACACACTCGAGGAAATTCAGATAAACAAATGTAGCATTCTGAATTTAAGTTAAGACTGCCCGGGATTCAGTCAGATGACACCAACAAGTGGCCTATTTTATTGGCTAGGAAGAAATCCTAGTATGCATCAATGTGCTTCTGCCTATAAATTGGAGATGTGAAAGTATTTTGCAGTCATTCTCCATGGGGATTGGAACCAACAAAAAATGTATGTCATTTCACATCACTTTAGAAATTTCTGGAAATTAATTCATTAGTTTGATTGATTGATTCATTCATTTTCTACAGCTTATCAACACTTTCATTTAAAGCCCGAAAATATTTTTAGACTGTAATAATTTTTTTTGAGATAATGTTTTTAGTGATAAAAGTCTTACTAATTGACCCATAGCTGGAAGGAAAGTGGTGGATTCAAACCTTTCCCAAGGGTATCTGTGTGTAAGCGAATACAACAAACACAACTGAAATTGAAACTCAGCTCTCCAATTATCAATTCCAAGCCATTATCCATTACATTACCTGCACATCCAAGCTTACAGCACCTGGTATTCACAAGCGGTCACCTATCTAGTTAGTGACCAGGCTTAATGCTGCATAACTTTGGCAATCATACAGGAATCAATGTTGCAACATTATATGGCTGTAAGTCGAATTTATTAGTGCTAACAAGTTTTCAGTATACTTAACATATTTACAAGCACTGAAAAGGCATATTTAAATCTAACAAAAGTTTCAAACAGCTATGGGGCTAGAATGATTTGCAATATGTAATCATCCTCCAAATACCCTTATAAATGACATGGCTTATAGGCCACTGAATACAATATAAAACTTTTTAAGAAAATTATATTTAATTAACAAATCAAAGTTACAAGAAAAGATTTTTTCTGTGAATTATAAAAGTGAGAGCCACTTTAAAGAACTTTCAGCAAAGTTTAGCCTTTGTGCCCACAAAAAAATTCTCTTGACATCACTATTATTTTAGCTACTTTCACTTCTTGGCAATGTTTATCAATTTTAAAAGCGATGATTAGAATTTTAATAAAACCCAAACATATGAAAGTGAATTTATACATTTTCTTGTTCTTGAAAATTTGCAACAAAAATATTAAACACTATTAGACTTTATTTACAGGAATAATTTTATATTTACAACATTCTAAAAATGTGAAGCAATTAATACAATGCAATATTTATTATTTATCAATTTATAAAGGAATAAATATGAAAACAATTCCACTCTTCATTTAAGATTTATTCATCTGTCAACACTTGATCCTAGATCACAATTATAAAAAGTTTGGAAAATTAAAACAAGAAGTAATCTGAGATATAAAATAATTTGTGAAGAAAATATATAATGCCCATAAAAAACATGTTTGTTTAAATTATCTTGTGCTATATATATTTTCATAAAATTATGAAAACTTTTTTCATAGTTATCTATTTATAAAATGGTAAATAATAAATATTGCATTGTAGTTTTTTCAATATTTTGAAAAAAATTTGTAGATTTTTATCATTTTTGAATAAAAAGATTTCTTTTCAAATTTATTTTTTTTAAAATGGTAAATAATAAATCTTTATAAAATGGTGAATAAAAAATATCACATATGTACTCAGTTAAAATATTTCTATAATCTTGAAAAGAAACATTGCCAAGGGAGTTTTAGTAGTTTAAAGTAATAGTGGTGTCAACAGAAAAAACACCCTTTTGAAAGACAGTTTTTTGAAACCATGAAGTCTAAACTTTGCTGAACTTTCTTTTATAATATTCCAAATGTCAGCTTTCAATTTACCTGGCAAATGATGGCCATGTGTTGTCCAAATCATAACCAGTAGGTATTAGGTCAAAGTTCACATCATTTAGATCATACAAAGCATTGATGAGAACTGAACTATGCTTGTGTTGCAACCAGGGAGATGATGGATGGTACCAATCACTTAAAAAAAAAATAATAATAATAATAATATCTTAATAACAATTTCAAAGAAAAAAAAAACAGAAAAAACACTTAAACAATCATTTTATCAATAAACATAAATGGAGTAAAATTACAAATACAGTCAATAATATAAAACTATATTTAACTCATAACATGATACTAAGGTCATGAGGTCATTAAATGCTAATTCTGAGTGGAAAAGGAATGTAAGCTAAAAGATAGAGAGAGAGTGGAGAGTGAAAATGAGACTGTCTGGATTTCTTCTCTCCTAAAGATTATTTTTCTTATCTATCAAGAGTCTGGCATGTGGACAAAAACAGATTTGGAGAAATGGTTTTATCTCTTCCTTGAGAAATTAAGAAAACACATATCATTAATGAGAAGAAAGACAGATGGGGCTTATATTTTCATTGACAAAAATGAATTGGGAAATTTAAACAAAGAACAAACCAATTGGTCAAAGTTATGAAGATCAATCTTGTCATGACAAACAGGTGATCTGGTTTATATTTTCACTAGACAGTGATCAGCCCAAGGATGGAGAAATAATTTTATCTCTTCCTTGAGAATTTAGGCAAACAAATATCATTAACAAGAAGAGAGACAGATGGGGCTTATATTTTCAATGACAAAAATGAATTAAGAAATGTAAACAAGGAACAAGCCCTTTTTTTAAGGTCGAAGTTATGTAAACAGATCCTGTAGTTGCCAAGCAGATGATCTGGTTTATGCTTTCACTAGACATAAATAATTCCAAGAATGGAGAAATAATTTTCTCTCTTCCTTGAAGAAACAAGAGTATTAAAATTAATGACTAGAATAAACTATGCCCTTTCACCTACACGATTTAAAAATTAGATTTGTCACAAAAACAGTCATGATTTCTCTGGGAAATAGGTTGAGGTGGAATGCTGAGGAAGAAGGAGAATTTGGTACCACTTGTGCGGAGTAGTGGTGTGAGATGAGAAGTGAAGGAGGTTGTAGTTTAGGGGAGGAGCAATCCCTGTAACTAATCTCGAGAAGGTGGACAATTCTCCAAATTTGGAAAGTTGATTAAGAAAGCAGAAATAGGGAACAAAGAATCCTTATTGGGATTAATGTGAAAATTGAAGAATCAATGAATCCCAAGAACCTTTCAACGCCATGCCAGTTTTGGGCCGAAGTGCATATAAACAGATAGGTTTGAGAGCTCAAAGACTTGGGCTGAGAACATCACATCAAGTGCCTCCTGATTTCCTGATTCTAAAGAACTTTGAATCTCAAATTATTAGGCGAAGCACAGTGTCACTATACAGACTGATGCAGGAAGGGTTAATTATTGTTGTACCAACAACTATATAAACCAAATGATGATTAACCCAATCAATCTTTCATTTTTATTTTTTGTTGTGAAAATATTTTTCCCTTAATATAGTACCTGCCACAGCTTGAACCAGTGCAGTGATTACTACAACATTCAATCTTCCACTGCTCTGAGAACAAAGAACATAATGTGGGCAGAGTTGGTTTGGATCAAAGCAGCCAGCAATCAACAACCAGCTTGGACAGAATCAGCACTGACCAGCACAGGGTTAGCCATATGGTTAAAACGTCATCCTAACATCATGAGGACCGGACCACCAGGTGTAGGCAGCGGTAAAAAGCATTATAATATGATGTATTTGTAGTCAAACTCTCAGCAACTTATAGTTGAGACTAAATTGTTATAATGCACTTTGTAGAACTTATAATATAATTAATGCTTTGGTAACTTACCATGATGCCTGTATTAATTAGTCTGAAGACTGACTACAAATGGCTTCTTCTCTGACCAGGAGCTCTTTATAGTTATGGACTAGTTCATATAGTCATCGGGGGTGTACTATTTACTCCACATCATCTCCCCTTTTGAAATTAATACTTTTTATAAATATTTTTTTTTTTTTATTAGTATTAGTATCTGCCTTTCTCTTTCTGGAGAGTTTGCCACCCTCCTTGACTTTGTAGCATTTCTGTCTCAAATTCACTTTCAGTTCTTCATTACACTTTCCTTTCTGGAACTTGTCCTTGTAGGTTCCATAACTTGATGTGGTGCTGGCACATCAAAAACATCATATAGAATTTTTATCGGTTCTTCCAATGTTTCAAGCCTTTCATCAATGCACTTTTTTTCAGCTGACCATGATGCTTTTGATGTTCAAATCTTTTCCCTTTTACCATGTAAATCAACTTCCCGATTCTTGCTGATATTATACCATCTTCCCACATTTCTTTGCCATCTTTATATGCTCAAAAGAATGCTTTATCGCCGAACTTGAAACTTTTGGTGTTGTTTTTGTTATCTGTTCATGTTTTTTGACTTGTCAAACACTGATTTTACTTTTCTAGCAAATATTAATTCTGCCAGCAACATACCTGATGGTGTATTAGGGTTAGGTGTTAAACTCTCAGAAAATTTTGAAATGCTTCTTCATTTACTTTCTGTCATGTTTCTCTCGTTCACTCACAGAGAAAGTGTTGTAGAGTAGTTTTCATAGTGGAGGCTTGTATTTCACTAAGTCAGTCCTAAAAGGGTCCGACGTACAAAACGTTAGGAACTTGAAATAATAGTTAATGATGCAGCAATCTAGTTGTGGTGGTTGATACTTTAATGTCCAACATCAACTGACTCACCAACTCACTCTGAGCTCCCTGGCGACTGCTACTACTTATTATCTGTGGGAGAGTCTATTTGCAATAGAATAGGTATGTTCTAGTATAACAGAAAGCACAGTGATAATCCAAATAGGTTAATTAACTATCTCTCCAACAGTGTATAAAAGGCAAGTACAAAGGCAAAAAGAAAACCAAACTGTTCTACCAGCATTGCTTAGATAGTAGTGTGATTAAAACATTCTAGAGAGTTCTACAACTTCCCATTCAATTCTATTGGACAGATTTGCATGCATGCAATTTGCATTAGACAGATCTAGATGATAATGATCTCCATAACTCTTTCTCAAGACTTGCTTTCTTCAACACTTTTTTTATACATTCCCACCACAAACCATTTCACTTTGTCCGTTCAACCTTGGGTTGATGGTGGAAGTCGTAATATGTTCAACGGAGAACATTTGACAAAAGTCTTTGTATTCTTTACCCATGAACTGCATTCTGTTATCTGAGACTATGGTAACTGGTATACCATATCTCGCAAACAGTTCATACAAGAAATTCACTGTCACTGAAGATGTTGAATTTTTCACTTATAAATTTCCAGTCATTTAGTGAAACTATCAACTACCACAAGATAATGTGATCCATTCATAGGACCTGCAAAATCTATATGCAGTCTTGACCACGGTGTGTCTGTCTTTGGCCAAGGTTATATCTTTGTGATAGATAGTTTTGCTGCCAGATCACAACCTCTGCAAGCTTTCAATATTTTTTCAATATCTTGGTAGATTCTGTTCCCATATACAAAACTTCTCATCAGGGATTTAATTCTTGAAATACCAGGACAACTGCTATGAAAATCCTCCAATATACACTTCTGTAACACACTAAGTATTACAATCTTCTGGTTAACCATTACTACACCATTGAATAGCAAGTAAGCGTTTAAGTCTGGTTTTCATTCTTTATTACTTTCTTTCAATTGCATTTTTATTTTCTCAATAAAGACATCATTTCCCATTTTTTCTTTTATTTCTGTCAGTGTAACTGGCAACTCTAGTACTATGTTGCACAAAATGTTTTTTATTTACATTTTGCTTTTTAGTGTTGCAATGAATGTGTCCTCAAATGGTTCCACATTTTGGGGTATTAATCTTGATAATCCATCTTCAGGTCCTAATTTTTTAGACAGTTGGTACTCCATCATAAAATCATAGTTTAATAAGATGGTACCCCAGCATTGTAGTCTATTAGCTGTATGCAAAAGTATTCCTTTCTTTGAACCATATATTGTTAAAAGTCTGGTAAAGTCTTTTTAAAGGATTAAACATACTACTTTTTATATGTGGATTCAAACCATCTGACTAATCAAAACTCAGTACAGAAAAAAACATTTTTTCAAACAATCAGTTTTTACTGTGCCATTATAAAGAGGAATCAAAACATGTTCCCATTGACTCCAGGCTGTATATTTTAAATTTTGAAGATGTTACCAGCACCCCAGCCAACATCTACTGTCTTGATGCACAGACCTTTTTATCTCAGTCAGATTTCATCTACATTGATTGATTGAGTTGTTTTTTTACAGCTTATCAACCTTTTCCAGGTCACTTAAAATATTTTTCAAATGTAATAAATTTTTTTTTGGTGTGATAAGATAATAATGATTTTCTAATACAAGTCCTACTATTTAATCCATAGCTGAGGGGAGAAGAGGTGGATTCATACTTTTCTCAAAGGTAATTGCATGTAAGTGAGTATAACAAACTTGACTTGGCTCTCAGATTTCTCATTTTAAGTCATTATCCATTACACCACCTGCACATCCAAGCTTACAGCACTTGGTATTCCCAAGCGGTAACTCATCTAATTACTGACCAGGCTCAATATTGCTTAACTTCAGTGATCAAACAAGAACCAGTGTTTCAATGTGATATGGCTGTAAGTCAATGCTGAGCAGACCTTAATTACAGTTTCTGGGAGAGAGCATACCATCTGGTGTGTTCAAGGCCATTATGCCCAAACCCTTGGTCACATTGAATCATCACAATAAAAAAAAAACTGGAAAAACTGCACATGCAGATATTTCAGTTAAACATTGATGTACACACAGAATAGTGGTTATTCTGGTTGGGGAAAGGTATGAATTCATCTCTACTTCCCACCCACCCTCAGCACTATGGGTTATATAACAGAGCAAGCTGAATTCTTTAGCTTCTGATGAGCAATCAATTATAAGGACAACTCTGAATTCAAAACTGGCTGGTAACTCCACCCTGTAAAAACCTAATTGCTACAGAAATCACAGCAGCAACACCTGGTATGATGAGGGTGTGGCCCTATACTTCACAGAGGAATATAAAGGAAAGAGAGAGAGAGTGAGAGAAGTTTTAGAGTTTTAAATGTGATTATATACATGGGTATCTCAAATTCATTGTCTATTGATAAAAAAAACATTTATTTTACAAAGTAAATATTTAACATAATCTCCATTGTCAATGCACTTTATTCTGTGGTGAAATAATCACATTGATTGAACATTATACAGGGAAATTTTCAGAGCAAAATTCAGTTAATAATTATGTCAGTCTATGAACTTATGTGCACAAACACTATAAAAATTTCTATCTTCTATATAAAGTGCAGTGTATGTGTGTCCATCCATTTTTCAATCTCAGCAAATCATAAACTACTTGAAGTAACTAGTAATAACAACTACTGTAGTTACACATGATTAAAAATTAAATAAAGAACTCATTTAAAATTAAATTTAAATATCAAACAGAATGAAAGGTTTAAAAAACAATTCTTTATTAAAGGTTTAACTTTAATTTCACTTTCAGTCACAATTGCAATTGATATTGTCTAATTAAACCATAATTAAAACTTAAGTGGGGTACAGTACATTGCTATTATGTTTTTTTTTCTTTTTCTAGCCTGCATACTGTGAAGTATTCAAAATATTACATCAAATGAAGATAAAATCATTTTATTATTTCTAAATTCTTATAACTTTTATGTACATAGGACACTGAATATAAAAGGCTAAAGACCCAAAAGCCCTCCACGGGAGCTAGCCAAAAAATCCACCCAAAGAGTGGCTTCTAGGCTAGTATATAATTAAAAAAGTAATGTAAAATTATATAAAATTAAAGGGTAAATAGAAAAATAATACACTAGACTAAGTTTGTTCATTACTTTTTCTTTTGAGGGGAGTGTTTAAAAAACATTTATTAAAAGAATAAAGTTATTAACACAGTTTCTTTAAATAGGAAACAATCTAAATAATCCTTGATGATTTAGAAATAAGATATGGATAGAGATAATTAAAAAGACATTAACTAATGAGAGCGATGTATATGAACACCATACCTAGTTACACGGCCATTAGAAACGCACTGTTGTATAGTATCAGCAAGACGTTTGTGCACAAGAGCAAAACGAATTAATGCTCGACCTTTTCCAAGTGATGTATGATACTGAAAAAAAAAAAAAAGTGAGTTTTAAAATATAATCATTATCAATCACATACTACTACTGCATTCTTAATGCATAAAAATAAATAATAATAATAATCAATGTAAATTATCAAAGAGACAGGAAATGTGATCAACAATTTGAACAAGGCCAGTAAGCTTAAACCTTCAGTCATGATGATTTGTGATTTCATGCTACCCACTTTCACTGACAAGATTTGAGTCAACCCACATTATGGTTTTTAAGGCACTTTCCAAAGGTGCTGCATGCTGGGATCATCTCCCCAAAAATCAGCCATGGTGAGGCTTGAACCCAGGTCTCCTGGTTGGAAAGCAAACATTTTAACCACTCATTCACCTGCCCATATATATATATATATATATATATATATATCACACATAATGGTGCTGGTGTTAATAAACTAGTGCTGAATGTGATATAACCAAGTACATATTAGCATTTCTTGTTTTTTTTAGTAAATGCCATTTATCCAAGTTTATTTAATTATAAAATATCTATCCCTGTTTATTAAATATATATAAAATAAAAATCATGCCTATTTTAAATGCAACATATATTTTTTTAAATAAAAACTGTAACCCTGTATAATATATGGACTGCACTAGCATTGCATTAACCAGTTATTTTATTAAAATTTAAATTATGTAATGGTCAGTCTCTACCCAGCACCTGAAGATTGTATTATGCATGAAACTCAGAGTCGTGCTACTGGTGGGGGATTATATATATATATATATATATATAGATAGATAGATATATATGGAGAAAAATATATGACAAAACAGAAAAGGTTTTCTTATGATGTGTCCTGTCCTTCATTGATGAAACCCTAAAAAAAGATGAAATGTGTTACAAGAAAACTTTTTTTGTTTTGCCATATATTTTATTTCTGTTACCAGGGGTAGATTGTTCCAGTTCCACGTGGCATGCCTCTTCCGATTGACTCGGTAATTTCCCTTTTAACTCAACTCTCCAAGATTTTTGGTTCACAACACACAACTCTTTGGCTTTGGGTCTAGTCACTGAATCTAACCAACATCCTTTATCCACTGAGCCACTGTCAAACATGTGAATATATATATATATATATATATATATATATATATATATATATAGGACTTATGGCCTGACGATTGCATCTAGTATGAAACAGACTGTCGCCTCTAAGTGTTGACTTCTATGTTCACTTTTATATATATATATATATATATATATATATATATATATACATACATACAGACACACACACATGCACACACACATTTGTAGTGTGGAAACATAATTAAAATTGTGTAGAAAATTTTAACAAGTTTTTGTTTGAAAATCCTAAAATGAAGGATGTGTGTTACTAAAAATGTCACAGCAATTAACCAATTGTCAAATATTTAAAATAGTGACTGATGATCAATTTATTACAGTGAAACATTTAGTAACGTGTATGTCTGGGACTGTTTTAATATGTTGTAGAAAAATGTGATATTTACACTGTATGTAGCAGTGTCCAAAGGATATTGAATACTGTATAAAAAAAATTTTACAATCAAAATTAACACACATTTGTCTGAATTGTATTTCAGTTGATTGTTTAACAGATTATAGTGTGTGTGTGTATATATATATATATATATATATATATATATATATAGAAAACATCAAGGCTAGTCAGTACCTAGATGGGTGACCACTTGAGGATGTGCAGGTGGTGAAATGGATAATGGCTCAGAATTGAAAATCAGAGAGCCAAGTTCCAATTCCAGTCAGGTTTGTTATATTGACTTAAAATACCTTTGGAAAAGATATGAATCCACCTCTTCTCCTACCAGCTATAGGTTAATTAGTAAGACTTGTATCAGTAAATCATTATTATTATCTTCAAAAAAATTCTTACAATCTAAAAATATTTTCTGGCTTCAAATAACATATGAAAGTTAGATAAGCCATAAAAAACAGGACAATTAATATATATTTAGTGGTGGTCTGTCAGGTTTGACAATGACAACTATGTGTAGGAGTGAACTAAAGGTGACTGCAGAGTCCAATGTGGGCAAAGAAGTCCACAGTGGGGACAGGGAAACTGGCCTGGAGATTTAGGTGCCTCTACTACTGCCTTTCTTTTTGAACTGGCTTCTTTGATACTCTCATGTTGATTTGCATCAAATGTCTCTGTTGCTTAACACGTCACGGTACGCCATCCAATTTAATCCTGTGTGACGTTGGCCATGATGCAGTCTTTAAAACGTTTCAATTGACTACCATGCTTTCTCTTTCTCTTAGAGAGAAAAAATAAAGAAGTTGCTTTGGGATTCTGTCATGCACAGACCATCTGAGTTGGGCTTTCAGGATCATGCCTTCAATGTTGGTGGTTTCTTCATGGTCCAGGACTTCAAGGTTTATGATTCTGTCCTGCCATTTGATGCCCAGAATAGAGTGCAAGCTTCATATGTGAAAATTCTCCAACAGTTTCATGTGCCTTATATACTATGTCCAAGTCTCAGATCTATAAAGAAGGCTGGTGAGGACAACTATCTTGTAGACATTGATTGGTTGGTTGATTTTGTTTAGCAGCATATCAACATCTGTATGGGTTATTTAATGCCAAAATTTAAATATTTTGTATGCAATTTTTTTTTTTTTGAGATGATAACAGATTAGTACTACAAGTCTCACAAATTATAATTAACTTATAGCTGGGTGGGGAGAAGAGGTGAATTCATACCATTCCCAAGAGTATTTGCCTGTAAGTGATATTAGATAAATATCAATCTGTCACAAAGCTGTCAAAACCGTCAAATGCATTAAATATACTACTACTGTCAGGTTAAAAAATGCAGCTCTGTGATATTTTAAACTTAAAGTAAATAGTTGTTTAAATTCAAATTAATTATACTTTGAATCAGCTAATATTCCTCAAAATTTCAGAAAAGTATATTTTATTTTTGGAAGAGTTTTTAATAAAGAGAATTACATTGCAACGAAAGACGACTTAAAAAAAAGGGCACTAATCTTAGTAAAAACAAAAACTCCTTTCAGTCAATTTAAAATAGTTTTAAATTAGTTTTTGAAATACAGCAAAATATTTTACATCTGGGAAATATTAAATTAAAATCAAAATAAAAAAAAAGTAAAAAAAACTTGAACAAAGATTTTTCATTTTTAAAAACTCATTTTAAACCTTGGGTATCATATTTTTTTTGGAGGTACCTAACAATATATATATATATGGGCTATGGGTAAATAGCAGGACAGACTGGGTTCTATAGCCTTGGATGGCAACTGGTCTAGGAGAAGGACAACTCTGAATTCAAAACTTGCGAGGGGTCGTTTGGGGACCTTGTGGCATGTAGTGCACCAAGTCTCTGTATTCATCCCTTCAAAAAGTGTGGATGGTTCTGCACGGAACCTTCACCACTATAATCAAATCTCATGTGCTGTTGTCGGGCTGTCAGTTTCCTAGGGACTGATCTGCTTGAACCTCATACGTCGAATTTGACATGAGAGTCAAATATATATATATATATATATATATATAAATATATATTTACACACACACACACAAAATTTTGACTGATGATGTGGTGATGAAAACTAAGTTGAGCTGCACACTAGTTTCCTTCAATTTATTTTATTTCTAGAATTTCTTTTACAAAAACTCAATTATAAACTCAGTTTTATGACTCATCATTAGAATCAGGATTTCTTTAATAGCAAAATATTTCCCTGTGCTGTACATTGAATGTTAAAATGCTGTATGTGGCTTACAAGCTGCACTTTGGGCATCCTTGTGAAAGATCACAATACAATACAACTGGTAGCAAATAAGTAATAATTGTTATTACACATTCATTTAAGAGAGAAAACTGATTTGACAATTACAAAATTTACAATAATAATTAACTTTTATTCATGATTAAGAAAATTAGGTAAAAGTTCTATCACATGGTCACTGGAATTACTTTTGAGTGAGAGATTCCAAAAGATGGTTTTTGGCAGCTTCTATGGTTTTATACTAAGCTTGTGATTGCTTTTAAATATTTTAAAATCTACAGACAAAAATGAAAACCAATAAATCTGATAAAAAAATGGCACAAATATTTTGCAATACTCTCTTTTGATTTCTTGCTCCCTTGTTACCAAAAATCTTCAAAGATTTAAATACAACATCAATCTCTATCTTCTCTCTTCCAGAAAACTATTCTTTTATTGTCCTTTCTTGTCACTACAGTCTCCTCATTCTCTCCCACTCCCTTGCATCTTGACAGCATTATAGCCTTGCTTGGGGTGAAATGAATAATAAAAAAAAAAAACAGAACTGCTATTCAATGCATATACATGGTATTAAAGACAATCTGTTAGATCTTGTCAGAATTAAGATGTCCAGTTGTGAACATTGTTACCCAGCTCTTTTATGTCATGTTCTCAATATTAAGGAAATATTTTAAAACTATCCACCAGTAGACTTGCAGACAAATAACTGCCTTTTTGCTATATTACCTGGATAAATAGATATTACGAACAATGTCCTATGATAATTAAATGCATAAACCCATGAATATCCACTAAAAAATACGGTATCAATTATAAAAAGTAAAATTGAAATCAGGTATTAATTATAAAAAAAAAAATTAAAATCAGATATTAATCATAAAATTATAAAAATTCTGGTATTAATTATAGAAAGTAGAATAAAAATTGGATATTAATCATACTTTTTATAAAACCCATGTTGTGTGTATGTATATCTGTTCATTTATATATTGGATCGGATTTCCTACATTTTTCAACCGATTTCAACAAAACTTCACAGGACTATGTAAAATTACTTTTGGTGGTTTGTTGGAAAAAATTTGGAAAAAACAATTTTTTGCACAAAATCAATTTGAAAACACAATTAAGAGGCATTCTGTTTATGAGAATGAAAGGGGACAACTCATATCAAGTTATACTTATTATAAAAACCAAGGTTGTTTGTGTGTGTGTGTGTTCATTTATATATGGGATCGGATTTCCTACATTTTTCAACCGATTTCAACAAAACTTCACTTTTTTTTTTTTTGGCAGGTAGTGTTTCTTATTGTCTTGCACACTTTTTTTCTTTTTATTTTACATTCAGAATGCTTTAAAAATTCCATTTACAAGAAAATTGTTTATAATAAAATTCTATTCAATCGATAGACTCATAATGTTTGAAATTTTTTTGAGTTTGAGTTTGGGTTTGACCAAAAAAAAAAAAAAAAAAAAAAAAAAAAAAACTCATTAAGACATGCGTGTGCGTCAACCTTAAACAATAATCTTTGTCAATTTTATTTTTTAGTTTTTATGATGGTCGATACTTTATCTATCTCTTACTGTTACATCCTCGGGCAACACTGGGCTCTACTGCTAGTAAGATTATAAAACAATCTGGTATTAATTATAGGTTTCTACCTATAACCCATTAATATCCACTGTACCATTTTTAGGATAGTGGGCATAGCAGATTTGGATGGCAACCAGACTATGAGAAGGAAAACTCTCAATTCAAACTTGAAGAGGGCTGTTTGGAGATTTTATGGTACACTGTGTACCATTTCTTTGTTATCATTTCTTCAGAAAAGTGTGGATAGTTCTACACAAACTTTCACTGCTATAATCATATCATTGAGGGTAGTCAAAATGTTCAGTTCTAAACTCAACTGTTGCTTCCTTATATTCTAAAATCACCAAAAATGGAACAGTGTGCATTAATAGGTTAACTGAAGAATTTTATTTAGCACAGTAAACAGCCAAGAATTCCACTCAAAAAGTAATTAACAAACTAATTACTGTTTCAGTTGAATAATTAAGATATGGCTTGTTAATTTTAATGCTTCCAAAATGAAACTTTTTTATTTTGTCTTAGAGAAACGGTTTTGTTTTGCCTTCCATCAGCATGGCTGATGCTAACCACCAGAAGAGGAACTCATTGTACTTTCTTGGTTTAACATTTTCCACTGATATAAACTGGAATGATTATCTCAAGACAATTGTTAAGTCTCCTGCTAAGAAAGTTGATTCATGGTGTTGTGCTAGACTTTTTATCACCTGAATCTGTCTGCACCTTTATAGGTCTACCAGGCATTGAATATTGTTGCCACATCTGGTTTGATGCTTCTGCTATGTATCTTCAGATTCTGGACAAAATCCAAAGAAGAATCTGCAATGTTACTGAGCTGGCATCTTGGTTTCAATCATTTTCCCACTACTATAACATAACTTCTCTGTACCTTGTCTACAAATATTTTAATGGCATTGTTTAATTGTTCTGATGAGCTTTACTCTTTAATACCTCGGCTACATGGATTTAAGGATAGAACTAGATTGGCAACTAGGTCTCATCATTTTACTGTTCAAATTGCTAAATGTAAGTTCTATTGTAATAGTTTCTTCTCTTGCACTTCTCACCTGTGGAACTCGCTTCCACCTTCTTGCTTTCCTGTCAACTAAGATTTTTGAAAATTTAAATTTAATGCCAGTTATTTTCTTGTTTTCTTGAATCCTGTTCTTTTTATTGTCCTTTCTCTTCAATGTTTTCTCAGTTTCCTTCACTCTAGTCTTTAATTTTCAATAACCTATCTTAGTGGCTTCATTATCTTGCTTAGAGTGAAAGAATTAAAAAAAAAAAAGAAATGTACAGAAAGTGTTCAACTTACCTCTTTAAGAGATTTTACATATTTCAAACCATCTTTAAGTCCTTTATTGGAAACAAGGCACTCACAGAAATATTCCCAATAACTTTTTCGACGACCCATAATGCTGATGTGATCTGAAATAATTAAATTGAAAAATGCCTTACTTACTGTTACATTCTTATTTGAAGATGGCCAGAGAATATATGGCTCATATTCTTAAGATAATAAAAACAAATATGATTATTATTATTAATTTTTTTTACTAGTCTTTCTGTCATCTTATTATTGTTGTTCTTTATCCCAACTCTCAGATCACATAACATGCTGAAAGTGGAATCAGCAAACTAGCCAATTGTGTTCACTTCTTGCTGATGCTCCTGGAAAAAGTATAAATTCAACTTTATCCAGTTAAATAGCAGGGTAGATTGGGCTCTCTTACTTTGGGTGGCAATCAGTCTAGAAAGAAAACACTTTAATTCAAAACCAGCCCGATGTAGGATTGGGCTTCATCAGGCTATCTTGCCCTAGACACACCCACTTCTGCTACAAATGCAGTACAGGTGATGCTTCTATAAATCAAATGGGTTACAGCACAGATCATTATTCTATGATTGTTAAGTAAAACATAAAATAAAGTACAATGATGATCATGTGAGATTTGTAATAAAAAGCAAAAGAGACAAGTTAAAAGAGAGAGTGAGTTTGTATTTTCTTGATTTCAGATGAAAACTTGAAATTTTTCCAATATACTTTACTTCCCAAAATTAAAGTTTAGAAATACCAAAAAAATAAGAAAAAAATAAAAGTATCTACAGGGCCAGTGTGTGCTACCCCCAAACTCTCCCACAGGGGTGGAGGTAAGCCTGATTGGGAGTCCAAGGAAGTGCTTTGGAATCCTCATTATCTTATCAAAATTTACTTTCTTTCACCGACATTTATATATGTTACAAATTAAACCAAGTACAACTGACTATTAAAGGATGAAAAATTTTCATAGATTTTGACATCATTTTTGGGTCTTTTTTTTGTCCAAATCCATGAATTTGTTTTGTTCATGTTAAGTCTAAAAAAGAAAAACACTATATAAAATTCACTATTTTTTATCCATAATGTTGAATGAGCTAAGATTATTCAACTTTTTAACATGAAAAAAAATTAAAATAGTTAAATAAAAAAAGGGGGATTGTAAAATTTAAGTTGAGAAGATGGGGAGATGACAATGTCTCTAATTTGTATTTAGATACATTGTGTTTATTTTCAATCAAGACTAGTTGAATTGTTCAAAAATAATCAAATATGATCCATTATTTAAATTAATTTACAATAAAATATACCTTATGGAGGGGGGATTTGTATGTATAGATTAGAGTTATTTATGGGGGGAAAAAGGTTTCAGAAATTGCAAAAGTCCTGGGCATCTGTGTAAAATAACATCAAGACAATATGGATTCATAAGGAAAGAAAAGATCAAACAAAGCTTCCATCTATCACACAAATTCAATTGACAACCAAAATTTTGTTATCATTTTTTTTAACTTTACAATTTTAAAAAAATTTGATTTTATCCCAGGTACATATGAAAGGATGACAAAAAAATCATACTTATTATAAAACCCAGATTGTGTGTGTGTGTGTGCGCTGTGTTTATATATTGGATCGGATTTCATTTATTTTTCAATAAATTTCAACAAAAAACTTCTTTTTTTTTTTGGCAAGTAGTAGAATTTATTGTCTTTAACACTTTTTTTTCTTTATTTTTACATTCACAATGTTTTAGAAATTATTTTTACAAGACAATTGTTTATATTAAAATTCTATTCAATCAATGGTAGACTCATAACGATTGAAAACAATGTTTTTTTTTTGAGTTTGACCAATTCATAAAAAAAAAAAAATAATTAAGACATGCATGTCTGTCAACCTTAAACAATAATCTTTGTCAATTTTAATTTTCAGTCTTTATGATGGTTGATACTTGATCTATCTCTTACTGTTACATCCCCGGGCAATGGTAGGCTTTACTGCTTATAGTTTATAAGATTCAGTACTATCCACAGATTCAAGCATTTGTTGGGTATCTTGTAATATATCCTCCACAAATAATGACATATTCAGTTAAGTGTCATAGCGATACATGTTTGGCTTATCATGTCTCTTTCAATTCATGACTGACTATAGCAGAAGATTTTCCCGCACTAGGTTGCAGTTTCTTACTGCAGTAGACTGGTTGCTAACCGAGGATATAGGATCCAGTCTATCCTGCTATTCAACCCATAGCTCGAGGGAGAAGAGATGAAATCATACTTTTCCCAAGGGTATATGCACATAAGTAAATGTAACAAACTCAACTGCAATTCGAACTATGCTCTTCAATTTCTCATTCCGAACTGAATGAGAAATGGTGTACTACTGTAGTGAAATTGTTATTTACACCAATTTATTACCTAACAGTTGCCTATACAAAACATGTGATGTTTCAACAATATTATTTATATGACTGATCCAAATGTCTTTTCTTTTTATGTGCCATGTCCTTTCAGGACGTAGGCGATCATGGCTCTCCACCTCCTTCTATCCCTTGCAGCTCTCAGCAAGTTCCTTCTCTCTGCTTCATCCCCCAGACCACATTCTATCATACACCTGCTCAAGCTCATCAAATATGTCACGTGCAGCTTTCCTTTGTCTCTTTTTCCCTCTATTTGACCCGTGAGTATCAGATTCTCCAGGCCCTCCTTCCTCGTTATGTGTCCCAGAAACTTCAGCTACCTCTTTCCGATGTTAAGTATGTCTTCTCCTTGTTTGCAACCTCTCTAATCATTGCTCACATGCTTGGTCCATGATATCCTTAGCATCCTTCTGTAAAACCACATCTCCATTGCCTTGATTCTCTTCTTCATCTTTGAGGAAATTGTTCAACATTTGCTGCCATAAAGAACAGATGTCACATAACAGCTCAGTATTCTTTTCTTTGTTACCAAAGAAATCCTGCTGTCTCACAATACTCTGCCCGGCTTTTGGAATGTATCCTTGGCCATTCCAATACGTCTATGGATCTCATTGTCGCACTTACCATCCTCTGTCAAGATGCTTCCCAGATATTTAAACTTCTGCATCTGCTTAATTTTAATGTTCCTGATCTGCAAATCACAATTCAAGCTCTTCCTCTTACTGATGACCATGACCTTGCATTCTGTCTTCTTGATTCGATGTACTTATCCAATACTTGAGAATAAGTATTTATTGATCTATTTTAAATTCAAGTTACATATAGAAACCCCCAAAACAAAGAGAAAAGGATACCTTTCATTTCATAGGTGAGCAGGTATTCCAGCTTCGCACAAGTTTTATGGAGAAGTTGGCAGTCATCCGTGATTGGAACACCTGAATCTAGGAACTCTTGTTTTAACTGAATCATACAGTCTGCAAAATAAATAAAATAAAATAATAAATGAAATAAATGAATACATAATTTCAAAAAATAGATGATGAAAATAAATCTCCCAAACATGCTTATAGGTAGTTGGTTGGTTGTTTTTGTTAAACGGCATATCAATACCTCTATGGGTTATTTAATGCCGAAATCTAAATATTTTTTGCACAATTTTTTTTTTGAGATAATAATAGTTTTAATGATACATGTTTTACTAATTAACCTTTAACTGGGAGAGAAGAGGTGGATTCAAACCTCTCCCAAGAGTATTTACTCATAAGTGAATATAATGAACCCAACTGGAATTGGAACTCTGCTCTCTGATTAACAATTCCGTGTCATTATCCATTACACCATCCACACATTCAAGTTTACAGCACCTGGTATTCCCAAGCGGTCATCCATCCATGTATTGACCAGGCTTAATTTTGGTGATCATACAGGAACCAGTGTTACAACATTATATGACCGTAAGCCACTTATAAGTAGTAGTAGGCATCCATTTATCTCAAAAGATAATGGTAGTGCCCTCTTGGGTCAAACATTCTGTAGTGAAAGAGATAATCAGCTTTTCAAAAAAAGAGTTTTTTTTAATGCATCTTCTGAAGAAAAATTACCAAAAAAGTAGTTACCAAAAAAAAAAAAAAATCTAATTTAAGGACAAGAATCCATGCCAATGTTCTTCCCTCCCTGAATGTCATGACCAATCAGAAGGATTTCTTTTTGAACAAAAGTGTTGTTCTTTGCTTATAAAGTTAGGAGATTTTCTGATTTTGGGGAGATGAAAATTGATTTTGCTGGTGAGAAGTGAAAATTGGTTTGTGACACCATTTTGTAATTCTACACTGCTTGTTAAACTTATTTGGGCTATCGTTGATTTTGATTTGGCTACAAAATGTTGCGGTCAGAGAGACAGAAGAAATCAATTGCAGACGTTTGTTGCTTTTATAAGTTGACAGACTTTATTTTCTTTACAACCACACATTCAGTAAATCCAATTTGTTTACATTTAACAGATGAATCTTTAAAAAAATTCTCTTCTGCAGGTTTGATAGACAAATCTGGAATGTGGAACATAAAATCTGAAATTGCTCTATCACTTTCTTCATTGTCTTCTGAATTTTCAACATTTGGTTTTTGTTTATTTTCCTGATCTTTCATGATTCTCCTTGAACAGTATGGTATAATGCCATCAGATCATTTGCTAGCTGTTCCCAGCTACCAGTGTTGATGTCTGTGAGAAAAAAGGTCTCTCTTGCAAACATGCTTGAAAAAATTAGTGCAGGGTTTTTATTAAATAAAAAAATGTTAATAGACGGAACATATAAAGGGATATCATCTAGTTCTTATTTATAGTACAACTCACTTATTTATCGCCCATTTCCATTGAGTCCAAGTACACTCTAACCGACCCAGGGATTGAACTCACAATCACTATGTCACCAAATTCATGAACCAACGCTTTAATCTACTAGGCTAGTGGATTAAAGGATTTTAATTTTTTGTTTATTGAACAAACCCTGATTATTTGTATTTATTAAATTTTCTTTAGTCTGGCACAAGGCCACAAATTTTGGTCATCTCATGAAATTCAAACTTATTAATGGTCTGCAAAACTAACATTGTTTCACAGTGCACAAGTGTTTTTCTGAAAAATAAAAAGATCATAATAATATTAAGATCAACAAAACGTTGTTACATAAAAAACTGGAAATATACAGCTGTAGCATTTCCAAAGGGCGTTTCTGTACAAATGCAAATATGTACCCCCCATTTAAACTCTCTAAATGCAAATCTGTAGCACAAATCACATAATAAATTCAATAACAGGAGAAACCAATTTTTAAAAATTTATATATAAAATCTGTACCTCAAGTTGAAGGACAAACAATGTTAAAATTCCCAAATGTAAATACATATATCAAATTGCAAGGTAAACTATTTTAAATCTGCACCTCAAATCTCAGGAAAAACAATTTTCATTCACTTTAATTTACTCAAACTGTTGTTTTCATCTTGACTATTACAGATGTTATTAGACACATTTCAGTCAGCTACCCTCTGGCCATTTTCAGGTATCTATTGTTTGACTGATATGGGTTATCGTTTAACAATTGTGTTATTTTATTCCTGTGATGCCAGCTCTTGTTCAATTCCCTACTTGATCCAGGGATTGAACTCAATACCACTATATAATAATAACACATGTTTAACCAACTCTTATATTCATTATACCACCAAAGGACATCTGTAGCGTATTTATGGAATCTTTTATACCCAATGTCAGATAGTTTCAATATCATGGCAGGTTCATACCACTTTTCATAATTTCATATTTCATGTTTTAGATGAAGAATTATCACTATGATTTAATTTATTCTAACTGTTGTTCATCATAATGAATTACAATTTTAATTTGCTTAAATGTGTGTCATAGGGGTCAGTAAAACATTAAAAGATAAAATGCGGATAATTAATTTATCATCTCGCTGGACCAACCTTAATTGTTTTATGACCCTTATTTAAGAACTCTTCATTGCCATTTCAAGAGGGAAATTCAGATTACCAACACACAAACAGAAAATGTCTCATATCGAGAATATTTAACATAGAACATAAGGAAAAATTAATTATTTTTTTAATAATATGTGAAAATCTCCACTTTTACCTGAAGACGGTCTAGGACCAGAAACAAATGGTTTTGAAATTATGTAAAACAAAGCATAATTTTTTTTTCTAAATAAATCCACATTACATATTAAAAAACGTTTTGACAAGCACCTCTCCTCTTCTTTTTTAATATATATATATATATATATATATATATATATATATATATATATTTATATATATATATATATATCTTAACTTGTAGAGCAAATTTTGTAAAGAGTTTCCATTTAAATTTAAATCTGCACCTTTAAATCAGAGGAAAAACAATTTTCTTTAAATTGCTGAAGCAATTTTTTGTCTTAAAATAAGTTTCTATGTTACTTTCATTTAACAAGAAAAAATTTTAAACTATAAAAAAAATGTTTACAAATTTTATTGATTTTGTTTTAATCTTGAAATTTCTTGCAATTTTTAGTTCTTCATGATAAAAAGCTTATATGGCTCAGTCATCACAAACACTATTGGAACCTGTTGAAGGATAGATTAGTCATTCTACCAGATTATAGATAGCAAATTTAAATAAACTCTCCTTATCCAGTTGTTAATATCATCCTATTTTTTAAATAACCTGTAAATCAGTCTAACCTACTGTTGTTTTGTTTCCTTAATCATATCTTATCTACTTTGGACAATGTGTAGTATTTGTACTTTAAATTATGAACATCACTCCCTTCTTTATTGAAATCATGTCTGGGCTGTTAATAAAATAATAATAATAGATAAAAAGAAAACAAAAAGCACAAAAAAATTTACTCTCCCACTAACAGCAGTTGGGTGTACCCAGAAAAATTCACAATTACACCTTCAGAAACCAGATTACAACTAACCAGATTAACAATAATCTATCTGTATTTAAACAGTAGTGATAGAGTGATAAAGAAAAATAAAATAATAAGAAGACCAAAATTTTACTCTCTCTAAAAATAGATGGTTGATCTGAATCAACAGACCACAGAGACATATTTCAACCAACCAATAGGAAAGCTTTCACAACCATAAAAAGAAAAAATAAATAACAAGGAAACCAAAATCTTACCATCCTTAAAATAGATGTATATCCAAAATTGCCAGGCTACAAAGCCATAGTTCACCCAACCAATCAGAAAACTTTAATAACTGGAATATAACGCTGTGAGCCAATGAGAATCAAAGCAGTGTTTTTGAAGTGGATCTCTAAAATTGTATATAACCAGATGGAAAAATGAGCAAAACCAGAATCAATAAATAAATTCTCCGATGATGTGACATCATAACATAAAATGTGATATTTGTGCAAACAGCTGGCAACTTGAGACAGCTAAACCATCCAGCCACATTGAAAACATATACCCTTTCTTTTACCACCAACTAAGTAGCAGGAATTTACTATATTTGGATGCATACATGAGTTCAATCCCTAAGCCAGGTAGTACAAACTTAGGCACAGTGGAAATCGAGTGAGCATTAACTGATCCATGCTAAAGAACTAGATGATTGATTGATTTCTTTCCTACAGCTTATCAATCCTTTCTAGGTTAATTAAAACCAGAAAATATTTTTAGATTATAAGGAATTTATTTCCAGATAATAATGATTTAGTGATACAAGTTTTACTAACTAACCATAGCTGGGAGTAGAAGAGGTGGATTCATACCTTTCCCAAGGGTATTTAGCACATAAGTGAATATAATAAACCCAACTAGAATTGGAACTTGGCTCATTGATTAACAATTCTGTGCCATTATCCATTACACCACCCACACATCCAAACTTATAGTATCTGGTACTCCCAAGCAATCACCCACCTAGGTAGGGAGTAGGCACAAGATTGATTAACTTTGATGATCGTACAGTAACCGGTGCTTCAACATGATATAGCCATAAGTAGAAATAGAAAAGATAACCCTAGATATGGTCAGTAGAAAGAGAACAATCTATCTCCATAAATTAAATAAAGGGCTCAGTCTGAAATTCCTTGAAGATTACCTGGTTTGATAAGCACCTGATGAAGGCTAGAGGTCACAACAGTTGAAACATTGTGATAATAACAACAAAGATTACCATTCTTTATTACAATTGGTACCCCAGATGGCCACTCTTTATTACAATTGGTACCTTGATTAACCATAGTTTATTACAACATCTTTGACTAAAGTAAAATACAAACCTGATATCTTGTGTCATATAAAACAAACTACAGTGCTCTATGATGAACACAGTTGGTGAAAGCATTTTGGAAACTCCTGTCTCCTCATGCAAACACATTCACAGAGAAGGATTATTAAATATATGTTACTTTGTGGTTGCCTATGAATCAATACTGATATGGCTTACCTAGAAGGTCTTGCTTGATTCTCTCAATAGATGGTTTGTTGACCAGTTTGGGATACATAAGCGTATCCATTTGGTCAGGTGTACTCAGCTTCTGAAAAGATAGATTAGATATAAAAGTTATTTTTTAATTAAAATGATCCTGCAAAAAATTATAAAAAGGCACAAATAGTTCATGAAGAATATGAGCTTAATTTCACGAAGATTATTTCCTGACTTACTGACACCTAAATGGGTACAGTACAACCAAAATCATCCTTTTCTTTTTATACTGAAGAACACAAATTTACTAAAAGTGAAAAAATATAAGGGTCATTCTGAAAGTAATGCTACCTATTTTATTATGTTGGTCCACATTATCAGAAATGGAAGTTGGTAGTAGTGGTCGAACTTTCCCTGAATAACCCATAATGTTTTTTTGGTCTTATTACAGATAGCAGCAGTGAACATATTGGAAATTTTTAGTCTTTTTGTAATAAGTAATGAGCATAATTTGTATGTTTTTGTCATTAAGTGATGTGTATCCATTGAGGTTTCTTACAATTTTTTTTCATCTAATTTGTGATTACTGTGTAAGTAATACCTCTAGAGTAATTTAATAATGTTTTTTGTATTATTGTTTTTTCCAGGGTTAGTTTAATTTGTTTATCAATTTGTGTGTGTGTGTGTGTGTGTGTGTTTGTATGCATAGGTGATGTAATGAATAGCAGCTAAGAATGAGAAATCTGAAAACCAAGTTTTAATTCCAGTCAAGTTTATTACATTTACTTACACATAAATATTCTTGAGAAAGATATGAATCCATTTCTCCTCTTCCCAGCTACCAGCCCAGGAGAAGGAAAACTGAATTCAAACCAGCCTGGAGAAGGTTATCTTGCCCAAGGTACACCACTGCTGCTATGGCTGCAGTACATGTGGGGCCTCTATGACCCTAATGGACTAATGGTACTTCTGATCGTTATATATATATATATATATATATATATATATATATATACACACACGTCCAACCTTTCACTTAAACTCCCCACTACAACAATGCATTCATCGACTGTAAAATATATATATATATATATATATATATATATATATATATACTCTCACTCCAACTCTTGAATCTTGATAGTATTTTAAATTAGGATGGAAAAGGAAGAGGATTGTGGAAGAGTTAGCATCCCTGCACTCATTGAAAAGTATAGAAGAGAGTTAAGAGAGAGAGAGCAAGACAAAAAGATACTGATGGTCTATACCACAAGGTACATTTAAAAGAGAAAAAAAAACAAATATATATTTGTGTTATCTTGCTATTAAGTGTATGCAAAAGTACTCAGCTCTTTTTTTATTCTTTTTTTTTTTCATTTCAACCAACTTTTGGATGTTTTTCTGTGAATCTCATTTCAATTAATTTCAAATACAATATCTGAGTTGTTGTAACCTAGAAAGGGTTAGTGAATGAGGAATAACCAAAACAGAGGTTGGAAATGAAATGGTAATCTTTATAACATCAACAAAATACAATACTCGCCAGCAGCATGAAGTAGGTAAACCACTGTTAGTGGTAAACTACTTAAACAGCATATTACACCTACTTACAATAGTGTCCAACATATTTATGAGGATTGGGACATACCCATTAGTGTTCATATGTATGGTAAATAAAAGTAATTTACTGTTTTCATTTTTAATTTACTAGTTTGAATATTTTCATTTAATTTATATTCTATTCTATATATATATATATATATATATATATATATATATATATTTAAACTCTACTCTTGACTCATCTGAGTATCCCTGCTTAACATCCTATTTAAAACAGAGTCTCTTTTAAGTGATATGCATATCACCCCTTCCATGGTTTTTGTTCTCATCTCTAAACTAGATCCCCACAAAACATGTAGACCTAATGGTATCCTGTAATAGTCATTAAGAAGTGTACTCCTGAACTGGCTCCTGTTCTCTCTAAACTGTATAATCAATGCCTCGCTGCCTCCTGCTTTCTTGCCTGCTGGAAATCATCATCTGTTCCAGTTTTTAAGAATGCTAATGAACTGTTGGACTCCTCTAACTATTGGCCTATTAGCCTTCTACCACTTTTTGGGAAACTCTTAGAGGCCCTAATCAATGCTGAATTGGTTGATCATCTCTCATCACAGGACCTATTTTCAGACAAGTAATATGGTTTTCATTTCTCCAGGTCAACTGCTGATGTACTGATGATTATTGCCCTAATCAATGCTGAATTGGTTGATCATCTCTCATCACAGGACCTATTTTCAGACAAGTAATATGGTTTTCATTTCTCCAGGTCAACTGCTGATGTACTGATGATTATTGCAGAAAGTGTCTATCGTGCTCTAGATAAAAATGGTGAATTGATCATTTATTATGAGCAGTAACAAATAGGGGCCTGTTGTGATGAGAGCTGTCATGCTGGTATAGCTGAAAATAGTGGTTCCTGTGTGCTTTAGCTACCAAGCATGCTGGTATGAGCCATGGAGAGGATTGAGGTTTCACCTAGTATTTCTGAGAATGGATGAAAGTGTCCATTCCAGAGTTTAGGTGAAGACATTAGATGTATAGGGTTGAAGCAAAATTTAGAAAGAACAAGAAACACAATTCTAAACCGAAACAATATAGAAACAGTTCTCTCTCTACATTAAAAACATTTTTATGTTTGGTGATTTTAATGTTCATCATGTCAAGTGGCTTAATCATTCTAATGTTACAGATGTTACTGGTATTCAAATTTTCAATTTTTCTGTTGTGTAGTCTTCTTAGTAAAATAGTGGATTTCCCTACTCATTTCCCTAATAATTCTGATCAAGTTGTTTCTTTACTTGATTTGTTCCTAACCTCCTCTTCTAGCTCTTGTAGAGCATCATAACTGTCTTCTTGGCAATTCAGTAGTATCTGTTCATATTTCTTTTGATTTGTCTTTTAGAAAAGAACCTCCTATTCAAATGACTTCTTTTTGTTGTCAGCATAATGATTGAAATTCATTTCATGGCTTTCTTTGAGACACCCCTTGGATTGATATTCTTAACCCACCTATTGAGAATTGTGCCACAGTGGTTTCTCCTTGGATTAAAGCTGGCACTAATGCTTTTGTACCTTCTCAGAAATACCAGTTGAAACCACAATCTTCTCCTTGGTTCACACCTGCCTGTTCAGCTGCTATAGCCCGCAGGAATCACTTTTTCCAAGTGTACCAGTGTAATAGATCTGATTACAACAAGTGCTCCTTTATGTCTACTTGTAATAATTGTAAATATGCTCTCAAAGAGGCTAAGCCTTTGTTTGCTAATAGAATGAGGCAAAATATAAAAATTTGGTTCTCGTGGTTACTAGTGACTCTGTAATAATGTTAAATTAGAATAAGTCTTATATTCCTCTTCTCTTCACTCAATTTGAGGTGTTAACATCTGCTGCTGATAAAACATTTTGTTTTGTCAAAAACCTGTTTCTGGTAATATATTTCCTTCAAAATTGTATTGCTGGTAATAATTTTTTCAAAAAAGTATTGCTGGTAATAGTTAACTATTTATCCATAGCTGGGACCGTAACAGGTGCTACTACCCCAGGTCAGGGTGGACCTGGGAATGCCAGCAATTAAGAGGTGGTTCCACACTCCTCAAAACTTCCTGATCAGAGGCCTTGCTGCTGGATGTAGCTTAATGTCTTACCCAGGACATTCTCTATTGAGTGATATGCATATAACTATGGTTTCTGCCATCATATCTAAACTGGATCCCCACAAAGCACATGGACTTGATGGTATCCCTGCAATAGTCCTTATAAATGTGCTTTTGAACTGGTTCTTGTTCTTTCTAAACTCTACAATAAAGGCCTTGCTGTTTCTTGCTTTCCTGTTTGTTGGAAATACTGTTCTGTAGTTCCAGTCTTTAAAAACTCAGGTGAACCATCTGACCCTTCTAACTACTGGTCTTCTACCTCTTTTTGGCATAATACTAGTAACTCTAATCAACTCTGAATTGGCTAAGCATCTCACCTTGCAGGGTCTCCTTTCAGATAAGCAATATGGCTTTCACTTCTCTAGGTCAGTTGCTGGTGTATTAACAATTATTGCTGAAAGATTCTATCAAGCTTTGGATAAGAATGGTGAAGCTCAGACTGTTGCTTTGGACATTGTGAAGACATTTGACAGGGTTTGACATACTGGTCCTCTTCACAAGTTGAAAGGTTATGGTATTTCTGGATGAATCTTTCTTATCAAATTGTGAAATGAATAGCCACTCTTCTAAATTTTTTTGCATCAATGCAGGTGTTCCCCAGAATTCTATCCTCGGACTTATATTGTTCTTAATTTTCATCAATGATCTTCCTGGTAACATCAGTTCTTAACTTGGTAACTATGCTCATGACACAACTATTTAATCCTGTCTTAATCTGATCAGTTCAATATGGTCAAATTGGCAGCTGATCTAAAAAAATTATCTAAAAATTGTTGTTAACTGGGGCAAGAATTTTAATGTTAAATTTTAATGCTGCCAAAATGAAACGACTCTCTTTTAATCATCTAAGGGAATCCTTTTTGCACTTCATCAGCATGGCTGAAGCTAACCTCCAGGAGAGTGACTCATTGCATCTTCTTGGACTAACCTTTTCAGGTCTACTGCTAGAAAAGTTGCTTCACGGTGTTGTGCTAGACAATTTTTCTCACTAAAATCTATCTTACACATTTATAAGTCTACCATTCATCCACACATTGAATATTGCTGCCACATCTGATATGGTGCTTCTGCTATATATTTAGAGATCCTTGATAAAATATGAAGAAGAATCTGCAATGTTACTGATCCTGATCTGGCATCACAATTTCAGTCACTTTCCACCCACTATAATGTATCTTCCCTGTGCTTTTCTTTTAAATATTTTCATGGTAACTTTTCTGATGAGCTTTCCTCTTTGGCACCTAGACTTTATGAATTTAAGTGTGGTATTACATTGGTGCCAAGGTCTCATCATTTAAAGTTAAAATGGCTAGATGTAACCATAAGTTTTATGCTTACAGTTTCTTCTCTTGTAATTCTCATTTGTGGAACATTTTTCCAGTCAATTTTGATCTTC